CATTATTTTGTCATCACACAGGAGACAGGATTCTCCTTCTCTTTCATTACCTAAACCATTAAAGAATCTTTTCCCACTGGTAAACAAGTCACACCTGAAAATGATGTTTCCTGCACGATCAGCCTTCCATGCCTTCACAAGAGCAAAATCTCCTGTAATCGACTTCTCCAGAATAAAGTGACGGCCATCAAACTCTCGCACCTACAGAGAAAAGTACACTATTGAGATGCAGGTTTCTTCAAGCAGATCTCCTATGTAATACTCATTTTATGGGGTTAATTTTACATACTATCATATTTAGACTTCTTTCTGTACTATATATATATTTTTTATATGAAAAACTGTAGCTACTGTATAACAGCAGAGAAGCACAGAAAGGCTGTAAACCCCAGTTTTATCATAGCGTCGCTGTTTAGTGAAACAGAATGAGAATCAGATCCATACCCCTACTGCTCCATCTACTGGAATTAGACATGCTTTTTCCTGCACATCTACCAGCTAACCAAAAGCTGAAGCGCTAAAGCAGAACTGTTGAAAAAGTTCGTAATCACTGCCCATCACCAGAAATCCCAAATCTAAAATGAAGTGGGTTTGAGACAGAATACTCAAATCACTTCATCTGACAGGCTGAATTTCACTTGGTTTTCTCTGTATTTTGATCAATAGTTGTAATGATATTGTGCCTGAAGCCAGAATATGTAAGTGACAAACAGCTAGTATTTTAATCCTATATAGAAACATGAAACAGAATTTCTCTTAACAATGTAGAAGGTTAAAGTATACATAAATACTACTTGAGAGCTATTTAAAATTTCTGACAGGGGGACAAAGTATGACAAAAGTGTACCAGAAGTCAGTTTTTCAGTCCTGTAAAAGGAGACCTGAGCTTTTATAAAATGACACTTACATTTAAAATGGATTTGGAGAATGGATTTGATCAAATCATGCTAGTGATGTTATTAGCCCCCCAAAAGACCGAGAAGAGTCAGACAGAGTTTTCCACAAATGTTAAAAGTAGAAGAAAAATGTTACCAAAATTATAAGCTATTTAATAAATAAAACATTCCTTCAAATAATAAAACATCATAATGGCATACTCAGTAAGAAAATTATGGGGAAAAAAAAAGACTAAGTTAATGATTAAATACTGAAAATAGCCATGTATAAAATACATTAAAGGGGGGGGGGGGGGGGTGGGGGGGGGTGTGGAAATTACCTTACCCCAGATATGTTTTTGAGGTAGAATTGATTGCCATTTGCAGCCTAATTGGAACACACAGCATTATCCCATCCATTTCTTCCAGTACAGTTACAGAACCGAGAAATCTCTTCCTTTCTCCAAAGTCTACATCCAATTTCAATATAAAGCTCTAGATTCTCACTTGGAAGCCACACTCTTTTTATTTCCTTGCAATTTCAAATACTCTGACTAAATTGGATTTCAACTGTTGACAAATGTGTTTCCTGAAAGTTTGTGTCAACCGAGCTCTTCCCTGTTTAACAGGAAAACGTCCCACCTCTTCAAGTGCTAAAGCTTCATGTACAGCCACATGGCTGCTTACTCCATACCACAGTACTTAAGGAGCACCTCCCTCACTAATAGGAGGATATTCTCAATCTGTACTGTGCACTGCAGTGGCCTGGTACAAGATTTTGTTTGAGTGCAGAGCAAACCTCGTCAGAGAACTGTCAGGTGAACAGTAACTCAGCAAGGTAGGTTTTCATTTAGACCAGTTCTTGATGCTAAGTCACCCTAAAGCTGTAAAAACTTTTCTAACACATCACAGAGGACAGAAGTGAGCAGTGGGAGAAAAACTAATGTGTCTGGTACCACAGCCAACCTGTTAATCCAATATACCAAGGTTAAGCTTGGCCAGAAGGTGCTTAAGCTACTATTTATCTCGGAAATAGGAAGAAATTCCGTTTTCAAAGCAGAAGGCTTCCTAATAACAAATTGATATCTTACCTCTCTTGGCTGGCTAGCAATGGCAATGGTACCATCTGTGTTGTATTTGATAGGTGCACCCCCTTCCTGCACCAGTGTCCCATAGCCAGTACTGGTGTAAAATGCTGGGATTCCTGCTCCTCCTGCTCTAATACGTTCAGCGAGCGTACCCTATGGGAAAACACATTTAAGAACTAGTCATTTGGGAACAAGAAATCCAACTTTGATGAATGGCTTGCATTAACTTTTTTTTATATCATGTCATTTGGAGATTTTCCTCTGAACTCAGCAGACCATCTATTTCTTCCTTCCATTTTAGCTCTCCTTTGAGGAACTGGCAACAAATGCTTCAAATATGGCCACAAATTGCTCAAGAGCACATCGTCACACAACTCAGTCAACTCACAAGCCCCAAGCACTTTGCTGTGCCTCGTTTCCTTCAGCTTGTTTCCCAACACATTACACTGAGCAGAGTATAGAGTTCTTTTCCTCTTTCCCACCTGGCTACATATACTAGAAGGTTTTTGTTTATAAGTCCTACATATTTATGTTTCATTCTCCATCTTAAGAAAAACTTCATACCTCACTCCAAGTTGAAAGAGTCACACATAGCAGATCAAAAAAGGGAGTCCAGTGATCTGTGTTGCCCATGTGAAGAATACCAAAAAGCTGACAGAACAGCATTTCTACTCTATTTGACCACCCTATCTGCACTTTGCTCTTTGTCCAAGTGTACCATGGATATTAACAGCCCAAATTCCTCATCAGCCTTAATTATGGAATTATGGCCAAAGACATGTCTGCCTGCTTTTCATTAGTGTTCTTTCCCAAATTTTTTATATTTTTCTGGATTCAAAGCAAGACAAGACTGTCATGATCAATTATCTAGCTTGACAACCTCCAAAATATAGGTTGCATTTTCCCCAGTTAAACTGCAAGAAACACAATGACTTCTGGTAGGTTTACAAAATGACGGCAAGAGGCAGATGCAAACCATGCCAAAGTACTGTGTTCCAAACAGGCTTAGCATTTCAAGATCTCACCATGACCTCTTCGTTACTGTGTAACAAGCACACAGCAGTCCCCCATTTTGCCTAAAGTCACATTAAATTTGAAGAGCATTTTCCAAAAGGCTATTTTATCTTGACATAAAAATTTCAAATCCTTACATCCCCTAGCAAGTCACTAATGCACATTACTGTTTATCACTGCATGCTGTAGACCCAGTATTTTCACGCTGGATCTACACAGATTGCCTGTGCAGTCCACAAAGCCAATTGCGTGTCTAAAGAGCTCAAGATCTTCAAGATGAAAGCACTGAACATTACATAAGAAGGAGGAAAAAACAAACTTTGATGAGATAGAAAGATGAGATTTGTGCCTTTTGAAACATGACAAGTGACAAATGCCTGGGTTTTTGCCTGTCAGCTGACTGGGTATAAAATGAGCTGTCTCACAATGAACTGAAATCATCTAATTTGATTCCTACCACTAGATGGCAGACACTGCACACGCAACATCCCCAAAACCACGTACGAGCGGTGCGAATTCAACAACTCCCTGACTTTTTTCCCTTTACATAGGCCACAGTAGTGAGCATACTTCGCCTGTTTTTCTACAATTTGGGAGGAATTACCAAAAATCAAGCATTGTAAAATAAAATATACATACATACATATATATATACACATATATATATATACACATATGTACATACATACATATATATACACATATATATATATACATATATATATATATATAAAAATATACTTCAAATTAATATAATGTAACAAGCCATAGAAGGAATCCACACAATATGACCAGTCAGTTCTTAACACAGCAGTTGTAGCATACAGCCCATGATCCTAAGATGGCAAGTGCCATCTGTCTTTATTGCACATCTGCACAAAGGCAAAATACCTGGATTGCAAAATGATTTTATAAAAGCACCTAAGCTTTATCCTACTCAGCATTTTAGATGAAAAGAAATCACCAGTCTCCTAGAGACACTCCTTACCTGAGGTGTAAGCTCAACTTCAAGCTCACCAGATAAATACTGGCGTTCAAATTCAGCATTCTCTCCAACATATGATGACACCATGCGTTTTATCTGCTTAGTCTGAAGCAGAAGACCAAGTCCAAAATTGTCAACACTGTGTGGAAAAAGCCAGACAATACTCAGCATTTGTAACAGAGTTTTGCTGCACTCAAAGCATTTCATAAACTTTAACGACTTAACAAGATAGGACGAAGTTATCTCCACCCACTTTAGACATAAGGAATTGGAGACAAAAATTAAATTCCAGCTTTTAGGATGGAGAACATCAAAGTTTAGGAGTCCAGTGCTCAGACTTCACTTCTTCCAAGGCACCGAACACATCCAGAAATTAATTTTAAAGACATTTCACATGTAATAGCTACAAATACCAGCTTAACAAGTGGTGTTATTTTAAATATCTGCTCCTTTAAAAAGCCTTACTAATTAATAAAAAGCCACACATAGCACAACCTGCCTTTGAGTGAACAAGGACTTCTTGGTTTAAATTCTTGCTCCCCAGCAAAAAAGGCAAGTGATTGCTTAGCAGCTCAAGGAGAAAGGTACATTTACATTGATAGTGCTGGTTTCTATACAAGGTAAGAGAATATTGGTATTTAATTTTTCTTATTACAATAGATAATTCATTTTCTTACTAAGAAATTGCCTAATCCAGCAAAAGACACTAACACTGCAGTCAAGATTTTCTTGTCTGTGTCATATCAGCTTAAACTGAATGGTGTCGCCAGCTTAAATTGAATGCCAAAGCTAACATTCAACATTTTTCTTGTGCCAGTGCTTCTAAATTCTGATATCCTAAAGACATTGCTCTCTATTAGTCTTTAGCATTTTTGTGATGTTTGTCACCCTATATTGTGTATTGATGGGAAAAGAACATATTTCAAGAGTTACTGTAAGAAAAAGGCTCTGTAAAAAAAGCCTTTTTAAATTGAAAAAACAAGGTTAAAATATAAAAATGGAAATAAACAGAGATGGTACTACAAAGGCATGTTTCTTTCACATTTCCAACATACTATGCAGGATATTAGCAGACTGGTACATGTGTGCGAAACTCCTCTACGTTTATGTTGGTTTCCACAACATGTGAGTGGCGAATTCAGACCTTCCACTCCTACTATGGGAAAGATACATGATGCAGAAGTACCTCACAAAAAGTGATGGTATCTGGCACTAGTTGCCTCAATTCAGTATGACTTAATTATCCACACGAAGGCTGGAGATTTCAGGGTAAGAAATACTGGAAAATATTAAAAGAATCCTTTAAGAAATCAAACCCAGTATCCAGCACACTGCAATTAACGTGCACATGTGCTTACAATACATGCATGCTCTCAAAAACACTATTCCTGAAGAACGGCTCCAAAAAGGTTGTCTGTCTGTCAATTGCATTAATGAAATATATCCCTTTCCCATACAAATCTCATCCTTTTGCTGTTCTTACACCACCATGTCTACAATACTGCGTCCTTCTCCAGGTACTGTCAGAAATTAACTGTCTTTCCAGTAATGATCAGATGGAAAAAATAACGCATCAGACTGCTTTCCATCTATTCTCGCTCCTTATACCTTACCCAAGTTATCAGTAAGTATATCCCCTAACATATAAGAACTGTAATACAAATCTATACTTCACAAAAGAAAGGGATGGCAACAGAGGGGCAACAGCAGATTTGTAATGGTTAAAGAAATTTCTGCCTCATCTCACTAAGATCTACAATCCTTTCTCCTAGTCTCAGAAGCAGCTACTGGAGCACATTGTCCTTAATAGCATTTTGCATATCGTCCTCCACAACCCCATACAGATACACTTGATCCCCTCATCTACTACAGGCAGGTATCTTCTCTCAAACAAAACTTAGTTACAAAGTTACTTATACAAATTAAATATAAAATTGCATAAAAGTTATTCTCTGTCACACGCATCCCAAGTTGTTCTTCACTTCTGGAGTCACTCTTTCTCCTCTCCTCAAAGGCAGTCAATTTGTTCAAAACTAAAATTGCAGTGAGGATCAGTCACCGAGCACATACAACCTTATTTCCCTAGCACAATGAGAAGAGGAATTTTACCTTCAGCTATTCATACACCAAGAGGGTCTACCTGCCTGATAACACAAAATTATTTCAATTCCTGTGTGCATTTCATCTTCAGAACAGCACCACAAAATCCAACTGCTATTACTCATCTTATATGTTTATTTTAGATGCAAATTTCTTAAAAGAAATACAGTGCTATCCATCCTTTTTAAGGATGCAATCTGCATTCAGGTTTCCAGTTAAAATAACCCCTTTGCTTTCCATGCACATCAGTTTTCCTTCCAGCTCCTTCCAAAAACTCATTTTGAGCACTTCAGCCTATTTTACATTTCCTATTTTTTTCTAATATTTGAGTTTCCTAAGAAATCAACATTTCAGACAGCAGTGAAAACGCTGTTCTTTCTCCTATACTCCCTACCGTTTGCTCTTTACTTGATATCTCTATCCCAGAATAAAAATGAAAAACAATTTCTGGTTTAGGGAAATTTCTTTCAATGTAATATTTTTTGATGGCGATTCTTAGTTGTTCTCCCTCTCCATATTTTGCTGCTTTCTTGGCTGTGGTGTTTTAGCACAAAAGTTTCTTCAAACTTTTCAACTTAAATTATGTTTATGCTGAAAATGTTACCCCTAAAATACCTGTCTTGCAGGCAATGCCCTTTCTATCAAACTAACCATAAAAAGAAAAAAAGATCTTTTACTGAGTGCATGGAAAGAATACATCCTGTATATCTATTTTAAAAGCTGGACTCAGTCCTTTAAAGATTTAAACAAAGGTGAGTACACTAAAAATGGATTGCCCTAGATAGGAAGGAAAAAGGCATGGTGGAAGTTGATATAGTTGTTATGTGTGCTGTGAGAAAAGCAAATGTACCCATTAGTGCTAGACAGAGAATGCGTTCTTTTGCCCTCAAAATTGCTAGGATATCTAGAAGTTTCCCCATTCTGTATCAAGATGAAATCTGATTCAACAGATTACAACAGAAATCTGATACAACAGATTTACCTACAACAGATAGGTAAAGACATCTAACCTTGCACTCATCAAGAACGTAGGTGACCTAAGTTCCCCATTCTACTGAAGTGGACAAGAAATATTAAGGTCTGGTTGTTTAGCAACACATTCCTTCCTATTGTTTTGTTCCTCTCAGACCTACAAAACCTTCCTGTCAAAAACTATTGTCTGTCTTCTCTAATTAAAAAAATAGGTAAAGACAGCTCCCAGCAAGATCTAGCTCGCATGTGTCAAGTATACTGGAAGTAGTCAAAGGCAACATGTCAATGTTGAGCTCCAGGTAAATGCTAATTTGCAGCTCTCAGACCTTTCTCTTCAGTGACTCAAGCAAAACACATTCTACAGCATCACAAGGAAAAAGAGATTACCTAAGTTTCCAAGCCGATAAACGCTTCACACATCAACAAGCCCTACACAGCCTGATAAAGTAAGGAATAGAAATTTGCATTCTTAAGCAGAAAGAGGAGACTTGGAATGCCTACTGCTCTGGCAAGAGACCTAAGATGGCTTTGGGGATTTTTTTTTTTTTTTTTTTTTTTTTTGAGTAAAAGGAGATAATTATACTCTCCTCTCTCTGCCTTTGTAAAGACATTTATAGGTGCCTAAGAAAAGTGGGGGTGCTCTGGACAGATTGGCTGCCCTTACTGGGAATACTGGAAACTGAGGGTGAGCAGCATCAAACAGCAAGAGGGCTTCATCCTACGTCTCTCAGAGAAGCCTTCCTCTATACTTGATGTTCAAACATTCTCCAGGACCTGCACTGCATATTCCTGGAAGATCCAACCAAGAATAGAAGTCACTGGTTCTGAAAGATTGACATGAATATGCGAGTTTTGGAGAATTAAAACATGTTGACCAAAGAGGAGCTAACACGAATCCCAACCTGACCTTTCTATCATAATTTGGGGACTGGAAGGATGGGAGGGTAACTGAAGATGGACTGAGAAACGTGTAGTAAGAATTCTGGGGCAAGCCCTCACCTCAGGCAGAAACTAGAGTTTCCTGCAACTTGCTATTGCTGCAAAAAAAAAAGAGTATATTTATGGTTGGTCCTGCTCCTGAAGAATGCCCTACATAAAGACACTAGTCAGCTTCTGTAGACATGAGCAGTCACCCTAGGCATTCGGCATGTCCGAGTGTTGCACAACTATGCACGAAACTTGATAATATATGGACCTGTTCCAGAGCTAGAAATTTTCCTGGCAAGAGGCTAGCAGTGGGAAAGGGAAACAATTTCCTCTGTCGTTCTCCACTTAAAAGAGGCTTCATCTTGTCTGTTTTACTTTGTAACATCAGCTTTTCAGTCTTCAAAAGGATCTGCTCCAAGTTACATGTAATTACATCTCCTGGTAGGTCCACACTTCCTAGGTAAGTCCAGATATGCTCGCCAACTAAAAGGAATGCATCAATCACTACCTGTTTGACATCTCTTGGTAACACAGCCTTAAGCTTTTAGGCTCACAGAGGTGCCTGACTACAGCATGAAACTACCAACATGAAATAAGGTATGTGGCTGAGGGCACCAACCCTGTTCTTAGTGGTGCATATTCATAGGTCCACACAAATAATCATGAAGTATAATCCTGGCTGCACCAAAAAGTGATCCTTTATAGCCTTTGTCCATAAAATGAGTAGATGCCTACTAGATTTGCCAGAAAACACCAACAAAATTGCGGGGACACCAAGGGCAAAATAAATGTGGACAATCAACCACATAACGCTTCTTGATGACTCATCTTCCCCAGTCTTCTAGCTGGCACTTAACAGTGAGACTATGTCCCATGACAATCCCCAGTGCATTACACTGGAAGATTACTACAGTGCTGATGATATTCTGTTTCTCCTTTTCTGTCCTAGGGTACACAAAAATAGGGCAATACAAGGAATGGGAGTCAACTAGCAGGAAGAGGAAAACAGACTCAGCTCATAGGAAGGCAAATTAGACAGAGGCACGTTTATTTGCCCTATTGATTCCTGAGACATTGTCTTCAGCCACCTTTTTTCTTTCTTTTTTTTTTCCCTAGGACATTTTCCCATTTGTCCTAAGG